AATAAACTGCCCAAATACCCTTAAACAAAGGAAAAGTACGTCCTTTATGAAGGCATAGAGCCTTTACTACATGAAAATGAAAATTAATGAATACACTGTGTACAGTAATTTACCTGATAAGACAGACCTTAGAAAAATACTTTATGAGAGCTTTTATACTTTTATAAAGCTGTCTATAATGAAAATTAATTAACTAAGGATTTTTTTGCCCTGCTAGGGTGTGGCCGAGTTATCCGGAGTGCTGGGTTATCGAGTGCCGAGTTTTCGAGAGTCTACTGTATTATTATTTTCATTTTCTAGTCATAAAATTTTTCAAAAATTATGTTATAAGCATGAATTGCACATAATTTCAAAAATCATTTAAAAATTGAATTCTAATATTTGTCCCTGATAAAATAAAATCTAATGTACTATGTTAAAAATCATAATTACCGTTAATAGGCGTTCTAGTTCAAATAATGGATGCGATTGTTTTTCAGATGAATTATTATTTGTGTTTTGCTCAAATTTAAACCAGTCAAGAATTTTGCGTAACTCTGATGTTGAAAGAACCAAAGTTCGAGCAGGAACCGGTTGAGATGTTTCTTCATATCCATGAACCATAAGTCTTAAAAATTCTAAAGTTGTTGACAAAGTTGATAAACAATCTGAGCTATCTTTGCTGAAGGTGGTACTCAAACGTGCAAATAAAGATCGAAGTGTTGATGGATGTTGAATTAAAGCTCTAAAAAAATAAATAAATACAGTAAATAAATTACACATATTTACAATCACATTATAAAAATTTGTAATATTCTGCTTACTGTTTCACATAGAAAAATCCAAAATCATGTTCTGTGAGCATAACTAATGTTCTTAATGATGGCAAAACTGATGCAAACGTATGCTGATGATTGCCAATATGTTGTATCAATGCTCCACTAATTTCAGATATATGTTCCTTAGGTGGAAGAGAATTTGCCAACTATCCAAACACAATTTTAAAATTAAATAACATCAATTTTTTGAGAAAATTATTAAAAAACAAAGTAATAGAAACAGACCACTTCACTAACAGAAGCACCTCCTTCCAATGTAACAAAACCTATATCTGGATCACAAAGTGATTGAAGTATTGACTAGAATAATAAAAATAAATAAATAAATTCATAATAATTTTACAAAGTTTTTTTTAATTAAGTATCAATGTCATTTTACCACAATGCATTCTTGAGAATTTATATGAGATTGCTTGCTCGATACAAAATTTAAATGATCGAGAATCATGTTCAAAATTTCTGAATACTTTTCATCTGTCTTGACACTAAAAAATTTTAGAAATTTATCTATCTATAAATAGGATAAAAGTTTCTATATTATTCAAACACTTGAAAAATAACAATATCACAAGCTACAAGCTAATAGCAAGGTTGTGGCCAAAGTTTTCAATGTGAAAACGTGTACATCGGATGCTTAGTGCCACCTTCCTGTAAGCTTAGAAGTTTTGACAATGGCATTTGAAATGTCGAGCATGATTTCACTGATGTTCTGCAACCTTGCTATTTTTTGTATTCCTGTGAACTTCAGCATCCTTTTTATTTCTTATAACAATGACTATAAATATCAATAATTTCATGATTTTGTACTGTGTATTTAAAGGGACCAAATGGCAATAATCTGCCAATCAGTTACTTTATTATTTTATTTTATTTATTTTTAAATTTTTGCTTTTAAGAAGTATCTAATCTTAATTATGTTATTAATATTAAGATTAATTTTAACCAAATTTATTAACTTTTGCTTATGACAAAAATAAACATAATAAATGGTATTAATCTGTTTTTGTTCAAATTTGTTGTTAATAACTACTTAAAAAATTTATCAAAAAAATAAATAAATAAATAAATTGCAATAATGTGATACAAATGATAGCTAAATTGAATTGCACTTTTCATATAACATTCAAAATAATTATTATATAATAAAGAGGAAGAATTCTAAACTTTATTAAATATTGTATTGTCACAGAACTTGACTATAAAAAAGTTAATGAATTTTCCAAATTTAAAACTGTACTTAAATAAGAAAATTTGAATCTAAAGCAATTGATATTTTGATTACATTTGATATGATGAATATAATATTACAATAACAACAAAATTTCTATATGAAAGCTGAAAGTTCAAAACAAATATTTTAGGCCTTTATAGTTTTTTAATAAATATTATTTACCTTCCTCTTAAAATATTTATTAATGGAATTTTGAATGGTGCATGTGATACCAAGTATGCAATTAAATTCAAAATGCGAGCAATAGCTGTTGAACATGGTTTTACTTCCCACTGCAATGACATTCCCTGGGCTTCAGCTTTTTCCTCTGTAATCATATTTGGAACAAAACTATCCAATAAAGCATCCAAAACAGCTCTGAAAAATTAGATTAAAAAAGTTTATCAGATTTTTTAAAATTTAAAATTTAAGTTAAAGTGACATAATTACCTAACAACCACCACTGCTGTCGGTGTAGCAAGATCAGACAACTGAACACAAACTCTTCGTAGTAATTGTTGCAAAGGATGACAACTAGAAGCTAAAAATAAAATTGAACATTCAGTGTTAATAATACTTCAGTTAAAGCAATCAAATATAAATATAAAAATAAATTTAACAGCTCTTTAGAAACTTCACTAAGATAATTATAAGTAAAAATATCTATGTAATATACGATATAAATTATATATTTTTAAAACAAAATTATTCTGTATTCTGCATATGATGATTCTTATATTTAAACATACTCTAATTAGAACTGACAAAATAAATGTCAACTTATGAAGTTCCTCCATAATAATTGTAAAAAGACACTTTACACCAATAATCATATAAAATAATTAACACAACAGTATAGTGACATTAAAATCATGATTTCTTCCAAATGATTAATAAACTTTTAACTAACAAATTGTGAAAAATATCCATATGAATGATTTTCTATATTTTCATTGTGCCAAAAAACTCACAATAGCATTAGAACCATTTATTCAAAAATTCACTGTGTGTGTCAGCTTACATCCTCATCAGACTAACAAAAAACAAGTAAAATGGCAAAACCGTATTTGGGACAAGACTATATCTTGGAGACAGAATCACTTTGATGCTCAAGGCAGGTCTCATTCTCATTCTCCTATCTTCTTTGATATTGCTGCTTTTGGGCGCGATCGTTCAAACTTTATCAGCCACGACCACAAGATCTTCCATGACGCATCTTCGATGAAATTAACTTATCTAATTTCAAAATTTCTCTCAGCTGCGTGTTGGGCCAGGTTGAATTTCTGTTGATGCATAACAAAAAGTTCCCCCTTTTGAAAAAAATAATTGTGGCTATTGTATCGTCTGAAATTATTTTTTTTTATTTTGCGCAAATAATATACAGTTTAACCCAATTATAATGTCATCAAATGTAATGACAACCCTAATATAATGTCAAATTTTTATCGGTCCTATGATTTTACTATACTAGATAATGTTAAAAAAAACCACTTGTAACGACATAAAACCGTTTTAACGTCATATTTGAAGCACTCCCAAATTTACAAAATTAGATTACAAATTTTATTTAACCTAGAAGAAACTATGTGTTCGGTCCTAAGGTCAGAGTTCACTTCTTAGAATGACTGTGGGTCATTCTCTCCCCTACCTGACTTTGGTGGGGTGAGGTGGCTGTTTTGCTGTTTGTAGAAGAGAATTGCCATTTTGTATTTTATTTTGACTTGATTCTTGGTCCCCCGACTACCTACGACTCTGGATTTTTTTATGCGCAAATGATTTGGGCACCTAATACTCTGTACCAATATCAACTCTCAACATGTACTCTTTCATACCTGTATGCTGGTAAGAAAATCAGGCAGTACGATTTTATAAACAAGACATAGTCTTGTCAATTATTATATATTATATTAAATATAAATGTAAGTTATATATTAAAATATTAATATTTATTAATACTAGGTAGCCAGTTAATTAAAACTAAAAATAGTAAAATTTTTGTTTTTACACTGAAACTGAAACTAAAATTAAAAATAAAATCAAAATTAATTAATTAATTTAAATTAAAATTTAAATCAAAGCAATTGATTGAAACATAATATTTCGGAAAGGGTGGATAAAGTACTTGTCTGTGTTGATTGATTTGATTAGATTTCATCCAGGTAGATTTAAGTCTTTATTTATAGCACTTTTTTGTAAAGTGTTGGTTTCAGGTTTGGTTGGTGATGACAGACATTTTTGCTTTTAATATATAAAATGGATATAGGTATAGATGATAATATATTATATATAATATTATATTGCATTTGTAGTCATTTTTATGCATAAAATACAGCTAAAAAGATTTAAAAAAAGGGCTTTGTTTTGAGGTCAGGAATGGATTAATCCATTTTATATTGTTTTCTTATGGGAAAATTTGTTTCTGTTTGACAACAAATCGATTTTCAAACAACTCTTAGGAATGAATCAAGTTTGAAAACCGCAGTTTGACTGTAATACAATATTATCGTGAAATTAATTAATATAAAAAAATTAATAATTACACATACCTGACAAACTAATAATTATATCTTGAATAATTGGACTTAATGAATGAAGATGAGCACTCCATAGTTTTCTACAATTTACTGCTCTTGAAACTTCTTCTTGCAACAATGGCTTTAAATAACAGGAAAATAATTAAATTTTAAATATTTGATATTGAACTAAAAAAATTGAATATGATTTGCACTTTAATACCTCTCGAGTCTGTAACGGAAGAGGTAAAGGTAAAAGTTCAGAAAATACACTTAAACCAGTTGTAAATGTATTTGGAGATTGTAATAAAAATTTTAAAACTTCTTGAATCATTTTTGTCCAAAGACTTTTGCTTAATGCTGTAAAAAGTAACAATTAAATAACAATAAAAATTCAAATTTTTAGTAATTGGTTATATTTCCTTATTAAGACATTTCAAATATTTTTTTCACATTGTCAATTCTATTAAAATCCACTATTAAGATAATAATATAATGTATGTTTATAATAACGTACATTATCTTATAATCAATATATACCAATTTATTTACTTTTCAACACTTTCTTTAAATAATTTCAATGAAATAAACTATAGAGCAAACACACATTATTATAGATTCTATCCAAGATGTAACACCATATCTTGGATATATGACATGATGATGACCATTAAATGACAGTCAAAAACATTTGTTTAATCTAGGGGTCCCCAAAGTGGTCAATATCAACCCCTTGGGGTCAATAAGAGTTCTCCAGAGGTTGATTAATACACAAGAGTCGAAAGGGGGTCAATTAATACCAAAAAGGATCAATTAAACTGTCTAGGAAAAAAAACATAATATTCCAATAAAAATTCGAAATACGGATATGATCAACATTACTGACTACCCTAGTTATAACTTGAGTTTTGCCTTAGTCTACACCGCCTTAACCATGTGCTACTCTGTTTTCACGCATCTGGCAACTGTACTAGTGTTGCAAACATGTTATGAACGCTGGTAGTTCATTATACACAGACATACGTTGCACTGTNTAATATTTTGTTATTTAATTTCAAAAATAATATGGTTTAAAATCTTATTTTACATTAATTTATAAAAATTAATATCAGTAATAGTGTTAAGACAGGGTTAAGTTTACTGCTCAGAAATGTTTATAACAGAAAAACACATTTCAGTCACTGTTTTCTGTTTCCTTTTCCTGAATAGTGATACTTTACGTGACTAAACAAAATACCATCAAGTACCATCTAGAAACAAAGTCATAACACAAATATGGTCATTAATTTAGATATAACAACAATTCAGTATCTCCATTCAGTTCATTTTACATTATTGTTGGCTGCATTATCTAAATATATAAAATTACTTGTCCTGACTGACTGAATGATTGATTCATCATTGCCCAGAGCAAACCACTGAACCTAAAGAGTGAAATTTTGTACACAGTTAGAATATGCCATGAGAATGCACACTAAGAAGGAATTTTTGGAAATTCCCCCTGCAGGGGAGAGGGAGAGGGAGAGGATTAAGACAACCTGAAGAATGGCTTCTACTGTAATATTTTAGATGCAATTTTTTGTTTTTAACTAAGTTTTAGTAGGGTACACCATGAGAATGTACACTAAGAAGAGATGCAATTTTTTGTTTTCAACTTTTTATTGAGTACTTAGATGTATTAAATTGATAACATTTCAGACATTGTTATAAATATTTTTATATACAGTGAAAACTGCTTAGGCGACCACCTGCATTCGATGGGCACCTGTCAAAACGGGCAAAAATTTCTGGCACGGAACAGTTTATCCATAGAGTCTTCGTATAAGTTACCTGTATTAAACGACCACCTGTGTAATGCGACCGCGGGCATCGATTTTTGGTCCGAAACAACATACAACACCTGTAATAAGCGACCACTTTCGCGAATGTATCTGGTCTAAACTATTGTAAGAACCCATCTCAACAACGTTTCCAC